GAGCCGAGTCAGCTCATGTGCCGAGTCCACATGACACGCAGAGCTCAACAATCTCGTCCGCCCATTAGACCAGAAGATACACATTTTTCAATCACTTATGCGCCAGGCCTCAGTTTGGCCTAGTCCTTGTCTACGAACTGGTAGGCCAGATCGACTTTTTTGCATCTATCCATCTACACTCGTCTCATCTGCCGTCCGGCCGATCCGCTACGGTCTGACAGCCGGCATCGCTTGTCAAGCTGTGTTGACACGGCAGCATTGGCCACCGGCCCCGATGGCCGGCCAGGCCTTGGAGAGTCGGACCGAGCAGCCGCTTGGTACAAAATAGGTTGAAAGCGAGCCGCATTAGCTGATTGCACAAGTCCGAGCGGGAGTGTGCTTCTGCCCGGACTAGAGGGGAAAAGGAGGAGGAGGAGGTGTGGACAAGATTGGGCAGCTCGGATAAGATTAAAAGGTGGGATTTGGGGATAATTCGGTTAGTTGCATCATCTGCCCACAGCCACGAGTGACCAAACGAGAATGCCCTCACGAATACCCAATGCAAGAGAACAAGTCACTTGCCCACGAGGTAAATGGCAAGCTGCATAATGAGTAAATGATGCTGGCACTTCTGTCCGACTCGAACATGTAGCTACCGTAGACAGATTGCCTCCTCTTCACTGGTTGTCGACTGGACGGACTGAAAAAATGGACTTCAAATGCCCAATATTGACCAATTACGAATAGAATTTATCTGCTCGCGGCTTCGAAACATTGTGACGCTACCGAGGCGACCTCAAGGTGCCCAGCCTCCATGGCGATCGGGACAATTTCTTTCTTCGGATCGAGGACTCGGTGTGCTATACGTTCTTCGAAGTCGCCCTGACGACGCGATCGATTTGCAAAAATGATGTCAGAAAAATCTCAAACAGCCAAAGGAGACTGAAGCCAAAATAGACACCCAACCAACTTAGGCCTTGAACACACTATCAAGTATGAATGGTGTCTCATTTTAGTGTTAAACAACTAACAATGTGTAAATGGCCTTACATCCGGAACAAACTTCCGCAGAAGTGAGGCATTAAAATAGCCCGTAATGGCACTTTAACCAGCAAGGACGGGACCCTGTCGCACGGGTGCACTCACCAGTTCATGCGTGAACATTTTTTTAATAATAAATATATACAATGTGTGTTTGGGTTAGGATGAATTTCATAAGATAACATTGAAGCGTAGTAATTCCTCCACAGTTGTGTTATCCTTCAGTTTTGCGTAAAAATCTGGATATTCTTCTAGGATTTCGGAGAAGAATAGTCTGACTTTTGTCCGTCATCTTACACACCTCATCAGAGATAAAGCCCATAATTACAAAGGCTAAGCATACTTCCATTTTAAGTGAAAAGATCGTGAGAAGGATACTCGGAGGTCGATTCCACCAGAAGACGACGGTGTTACTCTTGACCAGTTTTCGATTGGATTTACTATGGTTATTCTTGTTGACACTGTTTCCGAGGCAATCGCCTTAGATAGCGGTGTAGCTCAAGTGGCGGACAGCATCAAAGCAGGACTTCACTCTTGCAAGCATATTTAAGCTAATAAGTCAAGAAAATTCACCATCTTATGCCTTAATGCTCCATATATAACCTGCATCTATGCATTTGATGAGTTGGTTAGTTCAAGTCACATGTCCATCTAGGACATGTGTGTGAATATGTTTGTGTGTGATCATGTGCTAACATGTGTATCTATATATATAAAAAACCAGGCGTGGCGACCTAAAATAATTAAGACAGTACGTAACATGTATCTTCGGTCATCAAGTTTTAGTGAATCCCATTCATCAATTCCCTTATTTTATGTATTACCCATTACTTGTATTGCCCAATGATAGACACGCGTCTGGACAAGATAATATATTTTGTCAAGTCTGAAAGCAATAGTAAACTAAGACATTTAGAAATTTTAATCGTAATGAGAACAATAATAATAATAAAAGACAATTTAAAAGCTGTATTCACCCTATTATGTTTGAGCTGACGAAGTATCGGTGGATGAATTTCCCTACAATCACATGACTAGACCTTGCGTTTCCACTGAAATTTACATAACCTTGCTTTCCAAAATATGTAGTGGACCGCCATTTCGTCCTCGCCCAGGGCTCGTTAGCACCATCAGTGGGACTCAAACCCCCTGAGTACAGCATATAATATTGACGCATTACTAACTACGCCACACTGCGACGAGGGAAAAAGTGAATTGAAATAAAAACCTAACCATTTCCCAGATTACATTCTTCTAATAAGAATGTCAATGAAGCAAGGTTGCTTATTTTTTTGTTTATAACTAAGTAAATAAACAAGATCTGATATCAGAGCTTTGGTCACCTTAAACAAAGATTCGTGAATACAGTTCTTATATACGATCAACTGGTTGTCCTGAAAAGTCACTTATAAACGAAAAAGACTGGTTGAGTTGCTTCCTGTATCCTGGAGTTTGTCAATTCTTCTGAAACAACATGGATGAAAAAGTTAAATTTACAATGGATGTGGAAAACAGGCACTTACTTTTTTGGATTAGGAGGTCATTCGCTCCGAGGAGACTCTAAAAGTACCGCTGCTCTGTTAGAAATCACATGATGAAATAAGCCTAAACTTTTAGTCTCACCAGTCTTACGGAATGAAATTTGGGACAATCAAAAATTTGGTCATAAGAAGTCTACGACCTCCCGATTGTGAGTTCTGGAAAGAGGAACAGGACAAATTAACTTAAATATATTTTGAAAATGGATATCGAGAAGATGCGATACAACGCAGCATACGAATCATGATGAGCAGAATGAAGGACGGAGATTATGAAAGTAAAGCAAGGGAAACAGAGAAAAAACGATGGATATGTCAACCCTCCTGCGAATTGGTTGGGAAGCTGAGGCCGATACTATGAAAATGGAGCATTTGTACAATCCTGATGGAAAGAATAAGCCTCTTCACCAGTTTTCCGACACAACATGAAGAAG